GAGGGAGGAGGCGCAGGGCGAAGACATCAATGTCAATAATAATTCATTGATTACTTAATTCATAGTTGCCATGACGACCGTCTCTCGCTTTTCCCTCGCCTCCAAGCTACTCTGTTTTTCTCGCTTCGACGAAGAAGAGTACATACTCCTTAAACTCGCCTCACACGGAATCGAACGAGCCGATCGTTGCCACGGGTGGCCCGAAACATTGACCAATTAAATCGTACGCCTCCCGACCGGCGTAATCGCGATTTTCCTACCTCGCTGATTAGCAAGGTGATCGCGATCGTCAGAGTTTCATTATCGTTCACGGCATATTTTCGGGAATATCACGGATTCCGTTGTGAGCGTCGCATTAGCCTTGCTTACGGGTTCGCAAGCAGGCAAGGAGAAACACGAAATGAATATTCAGAAGTTATTAGTCTGTAGTGAAATGTGACGGGGCTCACCCTTCTCGAAAACCACCCTGGCCTCCGCCACCGTCGCCCACTCCTCCCCCTCCTCCTCTATCTTCTACCCCCTTCGTTCCGCCCCTCAGACCGCTATAGATTTTGCGATACATCCTGCGGAAATGCGAGCGAGCGAGCGAGCGAGCAAGACGCCCCCGATCTGCTGCTACCGGTCGAAGAAGGGGTTGAAGCCTCGATGAAACGGCGGGGATGAAATCGTGAAAGATGAGGAGGTTGCGGGAGGTGGATGCGAATAGACCGGGACCGGCGGGGCGTGAGGGTGATGGGCGAAAGGGGCTTTATGCATAAGCTAAGAAGCACCATTGACGGCCACCGTGGAGGGTGTGTGTCTGCGTATATACTTCGACTGTAGCAACGCACTTGATAAACACGACTTTGGTAACACCAACGTGACGCAACCCCAGCACGTATCCGAAGTCACCAAGTATAATCGCACACGTGGGGTAAAAGTGCGCGCCCGATTAAGATTATTCGCAAGTGTTTTGGCAAATTCGACTTGCAACGATCTTACCGTTCAAACTCTACAACGATTTACGAGACGTTTACATAATCGATTGTTATCGACATTCGTCCTTAATATGTCGCGAATCTGTGTAAATACGTCTAAAAAGGTTTCCCTGCAAATACAAAGTATGTAATTCGCAATCGTAAAATTTAATTACGTGCAATTTTGTATTTTAATTAAGTGATCCGTGAAATCGATAGAGAACCCGTAGTCGGTGCCGATCACGGAGGGACTCGGCTACTTTAATCTTGTCCCCTCGAGTTGTCTTGCAATCGGCGAGGAAACAAATGTCGAGAAACAGACGCCGGTTTACGTTAGTCGCTCCATCTCCTCATGAAGTACCGCGGGCGCAGTCCGCAATGGAAATACGATCCACGAAACATATAATACCAATGTGTCTCGGCAGTATTTGCCGAGGAAACGCGCGCGCGCGCACGGACGGATAGAGATCTCCGACAATCGTGTAAACGCCTTTACGAACGGCACCGCCTTGAAAGCGCGTGTCGTGTCGCAGGCGATATTCAAATGGCATCAATTTCTGGGAAATTGCTTCCTATATCTACCCGCAACCTGGATGCAGGCCCCCCCTCCCGCGAGAAGGGGGAAGCAGACCGTATTGGCAGATAGCTACAGCATCGTTTTACAACCCCTTATCTGGATAAGTTACGGGCATCCTATTCGGCGATTCTCTCCCGTCCGAAGTTACGTTGTCGAGGGTGTCATCGATTTCCATGGAAATCCCTGGTGCGTGTAACTCCTGCGCTACGCCAGATTGCCGCGCTTGTCTTATCGCGCGAGACAATTCTAACTCTGAATCAAAAAAACATACCGGCCGATCGTCACCGAACGCGATGCCATCTCCCATTGCTTGCTAAAGTTGAACGTATTGTTGGTGACATTTTTTATTTGCGTTTTAAAAGGGCAGGCTCTTTGGATTTTGACATCATCGGGTTTTCTTCGTAAACTATTTGCCGTCCCTAAAACTATTTGCACTTGCATTACACGTTCCTTTGGGCCTGAGCAGAATGACTGTCTTGTACTCCTAAGACAATGTTTTGTGTTTTAAATCTTAAAGTAACGCGCAATAACTGTCTTGTGACTTAAGAATACAAGACGGCCGTCCTGCCCAGGCCCTTTCGATGAAGAATCGATACATTCTCCGTGCACGAATCTCGCGCGACGCAATATCCAACGAGTCTAAGAGTCAGCCGCGGTAACAATCTCGGAGGAGCCCGAGCCGTTCCTCCTTTCGCCTTTTGCCGCAGAAGAAACACCCGCGGGGCTCGGCAACTTTTTTTCATCAGCATTTTACGGTTATACCGGCGCATTAATAATGCACATGCTTAATATAAAGAGAGGCCCGCGAGTCTCCGTCTAATAAACTGGAAGAATGCTTTATAACCGTTCGCGGTTTTGGACCGTGAGGGGCGAGCGACGGCGAGGTGGCGAAGGGTGCGCTGGAAGGCAAACTAAAGGGGGTGGCTTTCTTCTTTATGCTCGCCAAACGGCCAATCTCTCCTCCGCGCGTCGAAGGAAAGTGGCCTAACTTTCCGGCGCTACGAAGAGACAACGAACTCGTCGTGCGATATATCCTCTGGAAGCGCGACTCGTTAAAAGATCTTCGCCATTCTTTCGTCAATTCCGCTGTGCATGTATATACTCTTCTCGCTCCACCGTGAAAAATTTATTCTGTTGAAAATTTATCAACGCTAATCGATACGGGACACGTTGAGTTACGAGTTTTTCCAGTCTAAACTTTGATTAGTTTATGTTAATTGCGCCAACATTACGAGCTTGTATGATTTCTATCGAATGAAGGTATTTATTTGCTTTCTATGGAGGGTGCGTCGTTCATGATAAAAGGCTAGTTGAGTGATATACGTGGCGTAAATTATCTTTAGTGTAAAAATTTTCATATCCATCTTATCCTTGAGTGCCAAATGAATTTTTCGTTCTCCCAGGCCTGATTTCCGAGCAGCGAGCGAGAGGAGTCGCTCCAGATAGCGAAGGTGAGACTTTTTGAAAAATATGAGTTTAATAAAGAAGGTAGTATGATGTATGGCCCGGCGTGGGAGGAAGGGAACTTGCCAGGATCAACCAGCTTCGATACACAGATATTGTATACGTAATATAACCAGATGAAGGAAATGATGTACTGGATGTCAAAATGTCTCGCGAACGGTTCGACGTTCACGTTTCACGCCGACGAAATTGCGGGAAACTTATCGTTAAACCGAACAGGGGTGGATAATACGCGTTATCGGATTTCGTCGATCACCCTCTTCTTATCAATCGGTTCGTCAACAGTCACCAGGATATTATTTGTGAGAAAATACTTTTCAGTGCAGAATTCTTTCTAGTTTATCAAGCCGTGTAAATTCTTTCGAATATGTGATTTTCTTTAACGAAAAAAATGAACGTTGGAAATTATCGTTTCTTACAAGTTCTCAAGTAAGTCAATTCCCAGTATAAAAGTTAAAATATAGAGTTTCAATATTGTATAAAACTTGTTTGAAATATAGAAATTAGAACACTTATCAATATATAAGCCGAATGACCTGTCGATCTACACGAGTTAAATACCCGACCTTTAGTTATCTCATAATACTTGGGAACGTTTTATCACCCTACATTTTTTCTCCTCGACGCATAATATTGCGTCGAGGTATTGAATATTTCATCGCGAAGATCCGTATTTTTCTCAGGGTGATTGTCATTCGAAGAGGTCCAAGAGCGACAGGCGCGTCCGGACAGCGTGGCGCGGGGAACAGCAAAATCAATTATTCATCCGAATTGGCCGGGAAAAAGTCCTAATTATCCGGAGCAAATACAACCTTAATACACAGAAGTGTACCACCGCCTCCCCCTTCGTCCCAAACTCTCTCTCCCTCTCTCGTTCTATCTGCGAACTCCCGCAGTCACTCTTCGGCACAACCTTCTCCTTCTTACCGTGAATAACCATTTGTATTTCCAATTAGCTTTGCTAATAAGAAGACGGAGGCATTGCCGTAGTTTAAAAAAAATGTATAACCTCATCCAGCCACTGGGGAAATAAAGAAAAGCGCCGTCCCGGTATGACAATACCGACGGGCCGGGCGGGTTTATATCGGGCGAACTACAATTAAAAATCCTCGCTTCACCCTCGCTTAACCCTGGCTCCTCCTTATGTCGTATTAACGACCGGGACTGCGCAAGGATCGCTACGGGGATATCGTACCAAACAGCGAGCATTTTTTTTTCCGCCAATTATATGCTTGACCCCTTCACATTTTCCTTTTACCCACGCGCTCTCTTTTATTCGCGTCGCGACATCTTTTTTAGCATCGCGTCGATTTACTCTGTTCGGCGCGGCGGCAATATTCTCTGCCTGTAGAGCGAATAAAATGGGTTATAAAAATACATCTGAGAGGAGAAATATTCATTTCACCATTTTCCCGGCCGTGCAGTTTAGATGGTTGACCCAAAGTTGTATAGGGGGAATCAATATGTAAAATCCGGGCAGCTGCGTGGACAATTCTTGTTTTAACTCTATCGGATAATTAGCGTATCGTAAATTTTAATATTGCATTGTATTTTATACGGGATAATTATTTTATCTTACTCTATCTATATTGAGAGTGCGGGCGTTATGAAAAATGTGTAAAGTATTTTACTAACTACAATACAAAATTATTGAAGCAATCTAATAAATTTGTTATCGCAATAAGTATTTTTACAGTCTTGCATTGCAAGATTTTGATGCATCGTTATATATGCTGGTAAAACGTATACTAATATGAGAGACGTATCACCGAGATTCTAAGATGTTACGTGTGCTCGAACGTAAATATCTATGCCTGTACGAAAGAATTTACAACGCCGAGGAACGTATGCCTCCTTAATAATCCATTTCTGCGAATACGAGGCTATGTTTGCAAACTCGACTTCTCATTTCCGCGACTCCGCTAGGGCTCTTGTTTTCGTGTCGCTCATCAAAGTCGTACCGAGGTCAATCGACCGACGATTCGGAGTTAGATGCGATAAGTCTTGTCAGTCGCGATCGGCATTTCGTACAGAACGTATCATCCTGCCGAGAACCGGCGAATCTGTGAAATAATGTGTCAAAAGTGTTAACTGTAATAACGACAAGTTGCGTTCTGAATCCTGGGCAGGCCTTCGCTTATTCTGGATGTAACTATGATTTAATGTTGTAATTTTTATTTCCTTGTTAAATTATCTAAATGTATTAGGTATCGTTAATATATTTATATTTATTTTTTATTACAATATAATGTTAGATTAATATCAGTTGTGTGTAGTATTTTACATTTGTATATAACTTGAAACTTGTAATCTTTTCTAATTTATTGAAAACTAATATTTAATACAAAATGAATCTTATAATTATTTGTCATTCTTGCAGTACAAATATGAGAATTAAAACAGTTCCAAGACACAGAATGCTCCAAAGCAATATTAAGACTAAGTCAGCATTGAGAAGCTCGTCAGAAGAGAGCGATGCAGATATTGAAAAAAATTATGATTCTATAGAGGTAAGAGATGATCAAGATTCATGCCAGGTATATAATTATTAGATGTTCTATTATACATTGTAGAATTGCTTTTTTAATTACTAGAATTTTTAATAATTATTAGAAAAGTGTAGCTGCGCGATTAAATTACTTAAGAAATTTCGTGTATACGTAAATATAAAAAGTTAGCATGATTTTAACAGTACTTAATTTATTCGATATTAAAACGAATATCTTATTTGACAGGCATACGCGCCACCTTCAAAGATTCTTATTCCAATTGCGACGTTTGCTAGTTCGAACAAAAAGATTACCTTATCTTCATCCACCAGCACATCGCTGTCGCTGATTAACGACGATAATAATAATGTGGAGGTCATGAATCTATCAACAAAGGATACTTCCAATCGTGTTGACGACATCGCGACAGTTACCTCCGTCGAGCCAGAGAACAAACTGAAAGGTTCCTTCCTCTACAAGATCATGACCGATCCAAACTTTCTGAAGAATATACAGAGGAACAAACAGCCGAAGAAATTCTTCTGCGTCTTTTGCCAGAAGGAATTCGCTACGTGTGAGGAATTGGCAAGTCATATGGATGCGAAAAGGAATGAAAGCAACCAGATTGTCTGCTGCGCCTGCAGAAAGACGTTCACCGAGAAGAGGTATCTGAAGTACCATCAGAGATGTCACTCCAACAGGACCAAGTTCACCTGTGACATTTGTACCAAGAAGTATACGAGGCTGGACAACCTGACGAGGCATAACGTGCTGCACGTAAACCCGGACAAGTACTCCTGCACGATCTGTAAGAAGACGTTCACGCGCAAGGATCTGCTCAATAAGCACCGCAAGAGCCATGAGAAGTGTAATCTTTACTGCGTGAAATGCGGCAAGTATTTTAGAAGTATGCTCACGTTAGAAAATCATCAAAAAATACATCGCCAGGCGTCGAGCGCTTCGGCGAATATAGTTGTTTATAAGACTGAGGGTTCCGTTTCGGTTGAGAACCTAATCTGCAAAACTGAGAATTTGGTTTCTGCCGAGCATAAAGTTTACGAAAGTCACGATTCAACTTTAGGTGAGAGTTTAGTTTGCAAAACCGATGATGTAACTCGCAAAACTTAAAATTTACTTTCTGATATCTGTTAGACAAACCAGATACTTAGATACACACACATGTCTGGTCTGATTTCTTATATTTTTTGATAATTAAAGCAAGAATCTTTAAGGCGAGTGTTATCGAGTAAGGTACGACAATACTCTACGAAAAGATATTGTCTTGTTAAACATTTGTTTGTAACACGAGCTAATTATCATAATTTTGTATAATTATTGCTCTTGCATTATTATGTACTTGTTTACTTTATTCTAAAATTCATAGATTTATATAGAAATTTGCAATTTTCATAATCTATTGCGAAACACTATATGTGAAATTAAAATGGATAATTTCTAAATTTGTGCAGTTAATTTATGCAGTTTAATATGCATATACTGATTTAATTTGTTATTTATGTTATCATGGCATCTAATATTTCTTGGAATCATTATCTGTTACTTAATTACTTAACTATATTACATGACGTTACTATTACAACTAATGTCAAATAATCTTATTCGTGTCAACTGCTTTCCATGTTATAATTATGACAAGAATATTAGAATATTATTCTTTTTCTGTATAATAAAAATATACTCGAACTTATACTAAAAGAAAAGTTATCTCTCTTTTATAACATGCTACCTTAGTTTAATTGACAATTCAAAAATTCTAGTCCTCCTTCTCTCGTCTGTTCAGAATATGAGGTAAATGGGAAATACGCCAAATACAATGTGTCTCTCGCGTGTAATCGCTTATATCCAATCACGAGAATTAGAAGGGTCACTTTCTTCAGAAACTCTCGCCGCTCTTCTCGTCCCTTTTGGCTTTGCACGTTCATACATTTTTTTTCTTCATAGCTCTCTTCGCTGTTAACTCTCTTTCTCACTTGCAATTTAATGCAATTAAGTCGAGCGTTAAAATATCGTTCTTAATTCGCCGCCGGCACCCTTTGTTTTAAACGTGGTTTTAGCGCGAACGACTCACGTTGGGGCCTCCCTTTCTCTCTCGCTCTCTCTCTCTCTCCCTGCTCATTCTTGTTCTATCTTTCTCTCTCCCAATCCATCTTTCTCTCTCACTTTCTGTTGTCTTCTCTCTTTTACTAGATGTAGCGTACAATTTCGTTTCTCCGTAAGAAATATACATATGCACGTCATCGTCGCGTTTTCAAGCGCAGTGCATGACTTTGATGCTCTGTTACTACAAACTCTGGCCGTCCTTTACGAAATTCTAATTATTTCTTTTTCAGAATACTTTAGAAATTTCTTGCGGCAACAGAGAAAAATTTTAGCACCTGATGATATTTAAAATTTAGACTTGAGCGAGATAATAAAAAATAAAAATTCTTTGCATGTAATTTACGTCTCTTTGCACACTTGATATGAAATTTTCTTTAAGCACAAAGCGTTTTGATTCCGGATAGAGAAAGAAACTATATTAGAGCACATTAAGAAAGATGGCGTTATGAATTTTTATATTACACACTCTTTTTAAAATACAATTTTCCCCATTTTTCTTTATTTAAACAGCAATTAATTGTCTATATCTAACTTAAATTCTCCTCCATCAATTCCGATCTACTTTTCACTCTGCAGTCGCTGCTGGCTACACTCGTTCCGTATTCCCTTTGTCCCTCGCATCCTGAAGAACTTTGAAAAGGTTTTTTCGCCGCGACATTGAAAGAAAGCTCGACGAAGCACTCAAAGATAGAGCAATAGGAGAGTCCGCCAATTTTCAATGCGTCTAGCTTTCTCTCTCTCCTTCTTCCTTCTGTTATCCTGGAATTCTCCTGTGTCCCTTTGATCCACTTACTCGTCCAACGCGTATCGCGTATGCGGACTCGACCAAAAATGTAACAAAGTTTTCAGGAACGTCCTGGCAGAGAGGCTAGTACAGATTCTGCGGTCTCTTTGGCGAGCGTCGAACTCGGTTCTTGCTAGATGAACGATGTCCTCTCTTCGCCGTCCTCCAGCTACCTTCTCTCTACTGCGATACATTTGAACGTTACCCGAATACTCAAAATAATTATGCGTGATGAGTGACCATACAGACGGTGAAAAACTATATAGCAAAATTATATAGCAAATCTGCTCCATCTTTTCCAAAGACATTCCACAATTTTTATTCATTGCGGATACAATATAGACGGATTTTACAACAATCCTGTTTATAAAATAATTACGCTTTTTTATTTTAATTTTAATTAATTTTTTAGTTGCAAATAATTTGATAAAGTATATATTAAATTTGTTTTATATATTTTTTAGATATTTTCTCTTTCGTTGAAATTGCAATAAATGCTTTTAACCACATTGAATTATAGAATTCTCTTAATAGAGGATTAATCCTAAAACTTGGGAGACAAACACATTTTCTCGATAGACATTTTAAGATTGTTTATCTCCTTACGTTGTTGTTTAATCTCTCCTTGTGCCGAAATTTAAAGCATTATACCGTAGAAGAATCTCTTTGATGTCGCGCTTTACATGCAATATTTACATGCTATCGAGGGAAGACTTTAAACTTCTTAAAGATATTTTGAAGGCCCGGGAGTACTTTCAGCGAGCTTGCTGCATTAAGAATTTAGGGGAGGGGCACAGTGGCATTTATTCATTCAGGCATTAATGAAAAGACTGTATGGCTGGCGCTTTGTGTACAGAAGTCGATGCAAAAGACGAGACACAAACGCTTCGCGCGACTTTTGTACCCATCGATGGCCTCTCAATCACAAAAATTTTAATAAAATCGGTTTTTTTAAACCGTTGTTTCATTTTTAAAACAATTTTTAGATATGTTCAAGATTACATTCTGAAATACCTGTTTTTATTTCAATCAAATGTATCATTAAATTTAGAAGCTTGTAACCGATGCATTCGATCGATTAGCCGCCGTTATATCACACGATATAACATTAATGACACGTTGATATTCCCCGCGCACAGTGCGCACCTAGCTGGGGAACAGGAGGAGCGACGAGAAGTGGAAAATGGGTAAAAACGCATAAGCTAGGGTAGAGACTTCCCCGCAATTTTAAAAACAGCTAAGCATTCTACGTATTTGTTTGAACGCGCACAATGCCATTAGAAGTGCCTTTTAGCCCCTCTATCGTCCTCGCTATCGTCGTCATCGCCGTCGCCGTCGTCGACAACGTCTATGTTGTCGTCTCGCGCGGCCGACTCCTCCCACTACCCTCCTTCAACCCCCTCGGGTCGGAAAATCTGCCCGCGGCGAAACGCAGGGCGTTCTACGTTCGCGGTACTGAGCTTTTTTTCACGGTTTTCGTCTGCCACTTCGACGCTCGTTTTCCCAAATCGCACGCTTGTGCGCACACGTGTTATGCACGCGCGCCACTGCCGCTACTCTCTTCTCAGTTGTGGGGTCACTACGTCTGTCTTTCTGCTTACTGTGAATCGCCGAACGGAAAGCCATCGAGATACCTGGGAGATCAAGTCGGCGTAAAAGAAGAAGAAAGCGTCCTTGCGACTTTGAAGGCGAGTCAATTCTGAGATCAGGTATCTTGATCGGCATACAGTTGCGCTCACACAAATCTTAATCTAGAATATTTTAAGAACGTTGCGGCGATTAAAATTTTTAATCACTCTTTTGACAAAAATTGTAATGAGGATTAGTTTCGCTTCTTTGAATACTGATTTAATCGAAAAATATAAATTAGATATTCTTCACTGCTGCTACACTACACGCTTTGTACTCAAATTTCTTTGTTGTATTTTACTCGCGTCGGCATACCGTGACACGCTTGAGTTTCACCCCTTTACATTAATATTACATCGATGCCGTGTCAAAGAGCGTACCCTTCCTCGTTCTCGCCGTTACCCTTTACGCGTACCCCTTTGCACTTCGATGAACGGCCAGGCAACGTACGACTGCCTCGTGAATAATTACCGGACGAGACGTTAACCGATGGATTTGGAAATTTCTCCAAATGGCTCCAAAAATATCCACATTCCGTTCGTACCATAATTTCCCACGAGTGTTGCCGTATGATAATTAAAAAACGGTGTACTCGCCCGTAAAATTAATTCTTTGCGTTTTTAGCGAACTCAAATTACATTATTCTGTATGAAATGTTTCCCTTCTTTTCTTTTTTTCAAAAATATATCTAGTGCAGTTTGTTTTAACCTGGATATGTGTAACATATACCTATTGTAACTATCGGCTAAAATTCGTTTTACTGTATTTTTGTGCGAGTCGTTATATGCGTGTCATGCATATCGATAGGGAATTTTCAGTGTATTCCAACGTATTTGGCTCACAATCAAGCAGGTAGATTGATTCCGACTGACTTAATCGCAAAGCATTACTAAGAGGGTACAAAATCTCTTACAGAGAAAGAGAGCGCGCGAGAGCGAGAGAGCGAGAGTAAAAAAAAAAGAAATCGCCCCGCTTAGGCAAACGCGGCCAATAATCGCTGATAATTTATTAAGGCAAAAAATGCTGGCGATCCGCCCTACCGGGCTTCTTGCGTTATTTAAGAAAATAAATATTTGATATCTCAAACAAAGACTCGGCTATTCCTCTCCTTGCCGAAGAGTCAAAACGAAGGAACAGGAGGGAGATAAGGGTGAGGCCGCGAGGAGGAAGGACCAAGGATCGCAGCTAAAAAGTGCCGAGGGAGAGGGTCGGTAAGTCTCTCGCCTGCTTAAAGGCGCCGGCGGGGGTGGCGACTCATTGGCCGTGAAATATGGGGTAAAAGGTTCGATAATTGATTACACAGATTTTTTATGCCGCAAGAAGCCTTAATTCTCGCCGCTACCCCTCGGAAATAATTCCGCGCCGGGAAACCTGAGCGACGAGGCCGGAATATCGAGTCCCTACCGCCTCCCCCGTACAAGGGAAGACAATCTCGTGTCGGCCCTTACAACCGGTTCGGAGATTAATCGAAATCGCGATTGCGCTTTTCACGAGCGACAAGAATAAACGGCGTATCGGTGAGGAGATGTCTGCTCTATCGAATGAACGTCTCCGCGATAGTCTCTCGTCTTTTCAGGAGAATCATTTTCGTCTCTGCCAAATATAAACGCGATAATGTTCATGGATAATGACGAGTTCTCTTCTGATTTATCGCTTTCTATCTTTTCGAAAAAGTTAACTTGCCTCCGATTACTTTATTTATACTTAAGGTAAGGTGACCAAATGCGAATCAACAATTTGATGAGTCGCTAATAAGCGACACAAAAACACGCCTTTTACGGTATCGACGATATAGCATAAAGTTGTAAATATATAAAAGAGCAAAATTTAAGCAAATTACTCTTTAAAGTGTCGCTCATTAGCGATTCATCACATTTTTGATCCGAATTTGTTCACCTCGCCCTATATTTTTCGATGAATTTTTTTTTCGTAATCAATAAAACCATCCCCTTTACAACATAATTATTCGTACCATACGATAAATGAAATCACAATGAAATGATGCTTCTGTCACTTGCGCGATGCGCTTATACACAGATATATTCCGCAACTTTACACATAAGCTAAAAAAAAACGCAGAAAATATTACTCGCGACTATTCGCACGTGAAAAAATCAACTAAAATCAACATCAAAGAACTGATTCGAATAATTCCTCAGCGACCCGTCATGTGCGTCGTTAT